AACGCGTGGTGTTCTCCCCAGTGCCAGGGTTTTCATACGACACCAGGCAATACCCCCACTTCGTGGGGGGGCATTACAAGCTCTACCAAATATCCAAACGACTCTTCGCGACCACCCAAACCCAGCTTCCCGCCCTATGACGTTGGGACACTTCACTTCGTGGCGTGCGGACGACCGTGGCTACTACACTGGCGTGGGGTACACACCCACAGAACTTGGTCACTTATTCGGGGCGCGCATGTGCCCAGCATGGTGCAATTGTGCCATACAATACATAATACAGAGAGACAGAGAGAGAGAGACGGTGCGAAGAAAAAACGAATGTGTCCCGCATGGTATTATTTGACAGGGATGATGGCCCTGGCAGGTGCGCAACCGTTGTCGCAGAAGTTCGAAAAAGTTGCTCGCAAAAGCCCGTTTGACAGAAATGTTTAAAAAGTGTTGGTTTTCCTACGAATCCGCAAGAGCGCGCGGGATGAGATTTTGACATTTTTTTGTTGAAAAACCATTGGTTTTTTGATGTTTTTATGTTAAAATCGCTCCGAACACTAAGCTTTTGGAAGGATTTCGTCTTGCGCGCGCGAATGTCCACTTTACCTTATTTTTGCAAGGGATTCTTGAAATTTGATTATATTAGAACAAGAAATGTCATTTTATAGTGTTTTTTGCAAGGGAATGCGGGGGGGAACAAAACAACCGGATCTTGATCACATCGAATTACCTGAGGCTTCCTCACGAAAATGATGAAAATGTAGCTGCGGCCTAGGCGGCGCAGGGGGGCCGTGCACCAGGGGTCCCAACAATAATTATTCTTTAGAATTAATAATGTTCAACAACAACAACAACAACAAAGACGACGACGACGACGACGACAACAACAAGAACAACAACAACAATCATTCTAAGACTGTTCGCTCTTGCTTGCCCGTGTGTCATTCAAAACGAGTTCCCCACACCCTCGATACCCGCCCTTCTCTGTCTTCGATCACACCCCCTTGGGGGTTCTTTCTCTTTGCGAGGGGCGGCGGGCTTAGGCAGGCGGGCAAACCTGAACGGGCGGACAATCCTTCGTGGGCGTACATGTGCCCGCCATTGGAATTGGTGTAGGCCCTGCAAAAAAAAACAAGGGGGAGAACGAGGGAGAGTGGGAGGAAGGGAGGGGGAGGGACGAAGGAAGAGGGAAAACGCCAGGAGAGAATGAGCGAAGAGGGTGGCGGTTGATTAGAGGCAGAGAGAGAGAGAGAAAAAAAAAAAAAAAAAAAAAAAAAAAAAAAAAAAAAAAAAAAAAAAAAAAAAAAAAAAAAAAAAAAAAAAAAAAAACGAGAGGTAGAGAAAGAGAGAGAGAGAGAGAAAGAGGGGATAGAGAGAGAGAGAGAAAGAGAGAGGAAAAAAAGGAGGGAGGAGGCAGGAGAGGGGAGGGAGAAGGGAGGAGGGAGATGAGAGAGAGAGGATAGGGCAGAGAGGCATAGGGATGAGGGAAGAAAGGAGGGAGAGAGAAGGGAGGAGAGGGAGGAGTGAGGACGGAGAGGGATAGGGAGGCACCAACTATACACCAACACCGATCCCGGCCAGGATCAACCTGGGCCCAGGATCGGTGTATACGCCCTCCTGCCATGGGCAGAATGCATATACACCGATCCTGGGCCTAGGATCGGCCTGGGCTGGATCGGTGTAGGTGTATAGTTGGTGCCCTCCGAGGGGAGGAGGAGCAGGAAGGTAAGAGCGTGAACGTTCGAGGAAGTCCTAAGCGAAAGCGCCGATCCTGAAGACAATCCCGGGCGGGAGCCCACGACGGGCGGGCGATCCCCTGACGGGCGGGTTGGGCGGGTGGGACATTCAATCGGGATGCCTGAGTATGGCGAGAGCGCGAGTACTAAGTAAATTGAAACGGCGTCCTTGGCGCAGCGTGATTCCTGAGCGTCGAAAGCGCGAGTTTTGAATAAATTGCATGGAAATCACATGCGAAAGCGCAATTCCTGAATAATATGTGAGGGGTTCTCTGGCAGGAGCGGGGGTCTTGATTAAACTGCGAGGAAATCTTGACTCAATTGCGAGGAGGTCTCAAGCGGGAGCGCCGCTCCTGAGAAAATTTGCGAGAAAATCTCAGATGGTCCTGACTAAATTGCGAATAAATCATAGGCGGGAACACCAATCCTGAGGTGATTGTGAGGAAGTCTTAGGAGCGGGGGTCCTGAGTAAATTTGGAGGAAGTCTCACGCGGGAGCAGTTGTTGTTGTTGTAATCCGGGGGGCCCGGGGCCCAGTTTGAGCAGGATGACTTTCCCTGTCAAAAAAACAAGGTGCAAGCGTCGAGGGGCACACTTTGATTGAAAGACAGCATGCACCAGTGAGGGGGGGCAGCATTAAATTTCCTTCATACATCAGAGTTCAACAACAACAACAACAACAACAACAACAACAACAACAACAGCAGCAACAAAAACAACAGCAGCAACAGCAGCAGCAGCAACAGCAGCAGCAGCAACAGCAACGACAACAACAACAATCACAACAACAACCACTACCGCAACCACAACAACAACAACCACAACAACAACTATAAGTTTAAGGCTGTTCGCTTTTACTGGCACGCGTGTTCTGCAGTCCGTGTACCCCAACCCTCGATACCCGCCCACTTCGTCTTCGATTGCACCCCTTTTCGGGGGGGAATCTCTTCCTTGTCGGCCACTGACTGGAGTGCGAAGGAGTCTCGAGCGAGAGCGCAGTTCCTGAGTTTCTGGGGCCTCTCTGGCTGGGGGCTCTCGGAATACCGATGGAGAAATGCCGAGCGGGAGCAACAACAACAACTATCATTTCAAGACGGTTCGCCTTTATCTGCTCAAGTGTCCAATAACGCGTATTTCCCAAACCCTCGATACCCGCCATCTTCGCCTTCGATCGAGCCCCTTTGGGGGGTATACCTTTCTTCCCTGCAGGCCCGGCCCCTGCAAGCGGCGGGGCGGCCGCGGACCGTCGGCCTGGCCAGCGGCAGCGCTGATCGGCGGGGCGGCCGCGGACCGTCGAGCCGACCCCAAAAGGGACGGACAGGGGACCGACCACGACGACGACGACGACGACGACGACGACAACGACGACGACGACGACGGCGACGACGACGGCGACGACGACGACGAGCGAAAGCGAGACCGAGAGAGAACGACAGCAGGGCCACGAAGGACACGAAGTAGGCCACGAAGGGCGACAGCGGGGACACGAAGGGAATGCTTATGGGGCCACAACGGGCGCGAACGAGCGGGGGGCACGAAGGGCAGATAATGCGGGGCCACAGAAGGCAACAATGGAGCGGGGGCCACGAAGGGCATACGTATAGGGGGTCGCGGAGGGCAAGGACGGGGCCACTGAGGGCAGCAACGGGGCCACGAAGGGCAGCGAGGGGGCCACGAAGGGCGACAGCGGGGCCACGAAGGGCATGCATATGGGGCCACCACGGGCGCGAACGAGCGGGGGCCATGAAGGGCACACACACCACACACACACACACACACACACACACACACACACATATATATATATATATATATATATATATATATATATATATATACATATATATATAGATATGGCGCCACGAAGGGCAGCGAGGGGGCCACGAGGGGCTGCAACGGGGACACGAAGGGGAGCGAGCGGGTCACGAAGGGCGGCAACGGGGCCACGAAGGGTTGCAACGGGGCCACGAAGGGCAGCGAGGGGGCCACGAAGGGCTGCAACGGGGCCACGAAACTAAGCGATGGGGCCACGAATGGCTGCAGCGGGGCCACGAAGGGCAGCGAGGAGGCCACGAGGGGCTGCAACGGGGACACGAAATAAAGCGAGGCGGCCACGAAGAGCTGCAACGGGGCCACGAAGGGGAGCGAGGGGGCCACGAAGGGCTGCAACGGGGCCACGAAGGGCAGCGAGATCCCGATTCCTAGGTAATCTGTGGGGGGGTCCTAAGCGTGAGCGCGACTTCTGGGTCCTGGGTGTCGGGAGCGCGGCGCTTGAGTAAATTGCAAGAAATTCCAACGCAAGGGCGCTATTCGCCAGCAACTTGCAAGCAAGTCTCTAGCGAGAGCGCGACTCCAGAGCGCCGGAAGAGCGATTCCAAAATAAATTGTAAGGAAGTCCCAAGCGAGAGCGCGATTCCTGAATAACATGCGAGGAAGTCTCGGGCGGGAGCGGGGGTCCTGGCTAAATTGTGAGGAAGTCTCAGGCGGGAGCCGTTGTTGTTATAATCCGGGGGCCAGGGGTCCAGTTTGAGCATCAAGACTTTCCCTGTCAAAAACAGGGTACGAGCGTCGAGGGACACTCTTTGATTGAGAAAAAATGCACTGGTGGGGGGATCAACAATACTTATTCTTCAAAAAACAATTACAACGACAACGACAACGACAACGACACCAGCAACAACAACAAGAACAACAATAACAACCACAACAACAACGACGACGACGACGACGAAGACGACGACAACCACAACCACAACCACAACAACAACGACAACGACATTGACAACAACAACAACAACAACAACAACAACCACAACCATACCAACCAAAAAACAAGAACGAAACGAAAAACAACAACCACCTGGATAGGTACTTGAATATATACAATTGCATGCATATACACATGTAAGTATACAAATACAAATACAAATACATGTGTATGCATTGTTATATAGATAGGCATCGACATATGTATATGTATGTGTGTCTATACGTATACATATACGTATGCGTATATACATGTACATAGATTACTATGTATATACATTTACGTGTACATGTACATACACATATACATATACACATACCTATACATATACTTATACATACACATATACATAGACATATACATATACATATACATATACATATATATACATATACATATACATATACGTATACAAATACATATACATATACATATACGTATACGTATACATATACATATACATATACATATACATATACACATACATAGAAGGCGGGCGCGTGACACCTGCATTCCGCTGGTCGACGTGGCCTGCTCGGACTTGATACTCTGCATGTTGCCCTGCGGGCCGGACCCTCCGCAGGGGCGCTCGAACGGCACCAGCGCCAACCCCCTTCGGGAATCCCGCAGACTGAAACATCGGCTGGCCCTTCGACGCTCCCGGCCCCTGGAGGAGGCCGCTTCCTGGCCGCTGGGCCGTCCACACGAAGTCGGGGTCCCGAAACGGTGCGGAGACGGATCGTGCGACGACCCCGGCATCCCACGGGCCTCACCGCACGCTGCGTCGCCGCAGGGCTCCGGGACCCCTGGGGGGGGCACAGCCGCCCGAGACGCCCTCGGAGAACGGCCCGAGGGCCAGGACCGTGCGGTCACCCCGAGTCCCCCCGGACTCACCACTGGGAAATGAGAGGGAGGGGCAGAGAGGGAGGGCTGGGGGAGGAGAGCGGCAGGGAGGGCGAGGGAGGATGGATCGGGAAGGAGGAGGGGGGAGGGGAGGAGGAGGAGTCCCAGCAATTCGGGGGCGAGCCAAGAAACCCAAAGAGGGCGCTCGACTCGCCGCGGTGGGAGGCAGCCCCAGGGAAAGCTCCTGGGGGGGCGGACTGAGCCCCAGCCCGAGCCCGCGCCGCGATAGCAGGTCGCGGCGCCGGAGGAGAGGGCCCACGTTTGGGGCTCCGCAGAATGTCAACAGGGGTCCACCTCGCTCCGTGCCCCCAGACCCTCGCAGATCGACCTGGCTCGAGAGATCCCGCAGAAAGATGGGTGGCTTTCACTACCGAAGTGCGTCCCAAGCCGACAGCGGTCGATTCTGGGCAGGCGCGACCTGCTGTCACAAACGGAGTACGTCGGCGGCGACACCCACAGCGAGTCCTGTCCAGAATGGAAGGAGACGCTATCGGGCTCCGCCCCCACCCCAAGCATCGGAACAGTTTTTCGCCCTTGGGCCCGAAAATGCCGCTGGAGGCCGAAATCAAAGAAAAACAACCACTACAAAGCTCCGAGACGCCTCCCGAAAGACACCAAGAAGCCTCTTGAAGAGGTGTCTTGTCCACGACCCCGTCTCGCCCCAAGCGCCCCGGGAAGCAATCGAGATGCTTCCTCCTCCTCCTTCTCCTCCTCCTCCTCCTCGCCCGCCACGAGCAAGCCAACAGATAGCAACAATGATGCAACATGGGCCAACGGAATGAGCGAATCGATCAAATCCGCCGATCTAGCGTGCGAGTTTAAAAGAGCCTGAGCTGCAGCTCAGCTCTGCTGGGGGTTGCCGGGGTAGCTATGCCGGGGAAGGGGGAAGGTGAAGGATTGCTCCTGTTCTAAGCGTGGCTCTCGCTTGACACTTCCTCAAAGTGAACGATCCGACGGTTGAACAGATGTAGCGACTGTACGGATACAGGCCGATTCGTTTCCAAAATGTTGGTCTCGGCTTCGATGTTCTGAAACTTATGCACACGGTTAAACGGTTGGGGGTGACGTTTGTTTTTGAATGGCAGGCACATTGACATTCTCGTCTTTCAAGGAGTCTTATGGTGACAACGAAATATTAGAGGGACTTAGAAAGAGGACTTGGCACGAGAGGTGCAGTGCAGCATCGCTAACGCATCCTGGGTTTGTTATGATCCTCCTTTCCCATCTCCAGCCTCCTCTTCCTCCTCCTTCTCCTCATCCTTCCTCCTCCTCCTCCTCATCCTCCTCCCCCTCCTCCTCCTTATCCTCCTCTATTGTTTTCCTTATGAATAGCTTGTCCCTGTCGCACACCGAGGCCAGTCCCTGAATATTGAAATTTGCAAGAGCTTCACCGATGCAGGGCGGTCCGCTTTCAAAATGTGGTTCTCGCCTTAGCGCCGCGCACACTCAGCACAATGTGCTGAAAACTTGCAAGAATTTCACGGATGGAAGGGGGTCCGTTCTCAAAATGCGGCTCTCGCCTTGGCGGCGCAAAAAAACGTTGTGACACAGTGCCGGAATTTCAGGGCGCGACAGTCACGTTGAATCGCGGCGTTGAAGTCCCAGGAATGGTGTGCTGGCATTCAGGATCGCCAAGACGCAACAGTAACGGTGATTCGCGGCGCTGAAGTCCCAGGGATCACCTCCTCCTCCTCCTCCTCCTCCTCCTCCTCCTCCTCCTCCTCCTCCTCCTCCTCCTCCTCCTCCTCCTCCTCCTCCTCCTCCTCCTCCTCCTCCTCCTCCTCCTCCTCCTCCTCCTCCTCCTCCGCCCCCCAGATGGGCGCGAGGAGGCCCAAGGATCGAAAGCAGCAGTCGGGAGGCCCGAGAAGGCGGCACTCGCCCAGGGGTTGCCGAAGCTGCTCCTGGCCCCAGGGTGTCCCCCGCTTCTCGCGCCCTGCTGGAGCCCCGTGAGGCTCTGGGCCTCGCGGGGCGTGCTCTGGAGGCCCCGGGGGCCTCCCAGAGAAATCCTCGGGGCGCAGGGACCTCTGGCAGCCCACAAGAGTGGGGCGCGAGTTGGGGGGGGGGGGGGGTTCTCCTGTGGACGGCTGCATGCTAGGCTCAAGACTGGGCTAACAGGCAGGCTCACAAAGCGGGTCTGAGCCGAAAGGGCCTGAAGAAGCAAGAGCACCGAACAATATGCCCCAAAACCATTGCCGATGAGACCGCTCCGAAAGAAGCAACAGCCGGGACGAACGGCGGGGGGGAGACGGGTGCCCTTCCTCGGGCCCCGAAGGGCCCCACTTGGAGGCCCGGAAGGGCCCCACTTGGAGGCCCTGCAGGGCCCCTTTTTCCTGCAGCCTTCGCTGCCCCCCCCCCTATGGATCGCCCCCCCCCATGACAGTCGGACTCGATTGGACAGGACACGCGAGAGGACACAAGACCCTTCCGAGGGCCACTTTGCCACAGGGATGTAGGAAGCATAAGTCGCGAGACACAGGACACAAGGGTACCCTTACTCTGGCAGGGTCGACCTACTCACCGCCTGTACGCGGCCTCCGAGTGAGGCGTGCTCTGCAGGCCCCGAGGGCCTCCCGGAGAACTCCTCGGGACGCCAAGACCTCTGGCAGCCCACAGTGGGCCCAGAGGTGGCCCAAAGAGGCATCCAGTGAGATCCCCGAGGCCCTTTAATGCTGCCCTTGATGGTCGTTCGTCCACTCAATGTAGAACATCATGCAAGGTATGTTACGCTGATGCAAATAAGACGGTAGACAGTGATCGGACCGACTGCAAGAACATTATACCAGATGCAACAAGTAGACTGAAATCAAAAAAGTAGGTGTAACAGCCCGAACGCTACGAAAGTACACAATACGCCGCAACATGATAATAATAAACAATGGTGTGGATGTTTACCTTCATACGAATACGTATCATTGTGTACCGATACAGTACATGATCGATTAACCACGATTACAGTAACATGCTGAGAATTCGATGTGCTACGGCACACTATCATAGCCTATGTGATGATAATGCTAACACGATGTGGATTGGCACAGGGTGATACAGATACGTGTAGAAATACGAGAAAACGCGTTGCACGGGCGCTTGCCTTGGGAACATTCGGCGGCGCGTTTCGAAACAGGGCGCGGGCCCCCCCCCCCAACACCCGGCGCCGTCGATCAAAACCAAGGGGCCTCCCCTCCCCCCACCCCCCCACCCCTTCCTAACCCCCCCCCGCCTCCTCTCCCAAAGAAAGGGGTGCAACAAAAAGAAAAACCTGGCGCCGGGGCCGGCGCTGGCGGCCGGCCGCCAGCAGCGCCGACGGCGGGGACGCAGCGACGATGACCAGATGCAGCAAAGGGGGCGGGTTTCAAACCCCCCCTGGGCGTCGGGGGGGGGTTCAAACCCCCCCCCTGGCGCCGGCGCTGGCGCTGGCGGCGGCCAGCAGCGCTGGCGCTGGCGCCGGCGACGGCGGCGACGCAGCGACGATTACCACCACTACCACCACTACCACCACTACCACCACCGCCACCACTACCACCACCACCACCGCCTCAACCCACCACCACCACCACCACCAACCTACCACACAACCACCGCCACCACCACCACCACAGCCACCACAGCCACCACAACCACCACCACAACTCACCATCACCACCACCAGCACAATTACGCTACCGAGGAACCCCACATACTTATATTATGGCTGGAGTGATGACAGCTGAAGTAAAGCATGTGAAAATGATGTTGGTGGCCGTTGCCTGGCCGATACCGTTGGTGACGCCGGTCAAGAGGAGAGGTGGAAAGGAGAAGCCCCGTGCCCGCCACACTTTGCGAGCCCGAAACGGATAGCGACCGCACCCCCAAGGCACCCCCTGCGGCGTCGAGGAAGTGCAACGCCTGCCACACCAGCGCACCCCCTGTGAGCCGAAGAAATGTCACGCCTGTCACGCTCTGCGGGCCCGAAACGGATAGCGACCGCACCCCCAGCGCACTCCCTTCGGCGTCGAGAAATTGCCACGCCTGCCACGCTTTGCGAGCCCGAAACGGATAGCGACCGCACCCCCAGCGCACCCCGTGTGGCGTCGAGAAAGCGCCACGCCTGCCACGCTTTGCGAAGCCGAAAGGATAGCGACCGCACCCCCAGCGCACCCCATTTGTGGCATCGGGAAAGTGCCACACCTGCCCCACGTTGCGAGCCCGAAACGGATAGCGACCGCACCCCCAGCGCACCCCCTGTGGCGTCGAGGGAGGCCGCCTGCCACGCGTTGCGCGGCCTACACGGATAGCGACCGCACCCCCAGCGCACCCCCTTTGTGGCATCGAGAAAGTGCCACGCCTGCCACACGTTGCGAGACCGAAACGGATATCGACCGCACCCCCAGCGCACCCCCTGTGGCGTCCAGAAAGTGCCACGCCTGCCAGGCTTTGCGGCAGTGTCGTGGATAGCGGCCGCGCTGAGAGACCACCCCCCGCACACCCCTCTCATGGTGTCCAGAAACTGCCGCGCCTGCTAGGCTTTGTGCCAATATCGTGGATAGGGGCCGAGCTGAGAGACCACCCCCTGCGCACCCGCTATGGTGTCCAGAGAGGGCCACGCTTGCTAGGCTTTGCGGCAGTACCGTGGATAGCGGCCGCGCTGAGAGACCACCCTTGCGCACCCCCTATCGTGT